ATGAGTGAGAGAGTAATAGGAGTAGTGAAATTACAATTGTCTCTTTCAAAATTAGATCCATACTAGCACAATAGTGAAGGGCAAGCAAAAACGTCCACGAAAGTCCGCTGGTGATGGATATTTTCAAAATTTACGTAATTAACGGACGCAAATCACTGACACTCTACCATCATAGACATGCCTTTTTTATAGCCCGCCGGAGATAAGATGAAATCACAAGCGACAATTTTAAATCAAACTTCCTGTGATAACAATGGCTCATGAGGCTAAAGCTCCTAATGCCCACTAGCCTCTCTTAACCCCTGCAACCATTAAAAACCAAAGCATTCATGTGCCCTCTATTAAGGGTGAGTGGTGATGATAAACTACAACAAAAATCATTTTCGAAAGGGGGGGTTATAGGATATGGAAAGATCTTTGTGACATATGGCATTGGTAATACATAATGATATATGATAATATGTGGATTGAAACTTTTAAATATGGGTATCTAATTTCTTGGTAAATTTTTGTTTAAACTAGCAGTACAGTAATGCCATATTTCTCTATGAGATGAGACATATGATTTTACTGGTTTATTTTGATTACTTTACTAGTACCTTGTAGTGTTTTATGTGCGTTTAAAGTGTATATGTATTCTCATTGTTATATATGTGTAATTTTAGCTTGGAACATGAATACTTCTTGAAAGGATCAATATGGTTGACTAGAGGGGGGGGGTGAATAGGCAACTAACAATTTTTACCTTTTCTTTAACAATTTAAACTTTGCATCAAAGTAGGTTGTCTAGATATGCAACTAGGTGAGCAACCTATATGATGCAAAAAAGATAGGAACACAAGCAAGCAAGAGATATAACACAAATAAGCTTGCACAAGTAAAGGCACGAGATAACCAAGAGTGGAGCCGGTGGAGACGAGGATGTGTTACCGAAGTTCCTTCCCTTTAAGGGGAAGTACATCTCCGTTGGAGCGGTGTGGAGGCACAATGCTTCCCAACAAGTCACTAGGGCCATCGTATTCTCCTCACACCCTCACACAATGCGAGATGTCGTGATTCCACTATTGGTGCCCTTGGAGGCGGCGACCGAACCTTTATAAACAAGGTTGGGGCAATCTCAACAACTCAATTGGAGGTTCCCAAAGACACCATGAAGCTTCACCACAATGGACTATGGCTCCGCGGTGACCTCAACCGTCTAGGGTGCTCAAACACCCAAGAGTAACAAGATCCGCAAGGGATTAGTGGGGGGAATTGAATTTATCTTGGTGGAAGTGTAGATCGGGGCCTTCTCAACCACTCCCAAGAAAATCAACAAGTTTGATTGGCTAGGGAGTGAGATCAGGCGAAAATGGAACTTAGAGCAACAATGGAGCTTAGGGTTGGAAGAGGTAGTCAACACGAGGAAGAAGACACCCCTTATATAGCTAAGGAAGAAAATCCAACCGTTATCCACCTACCAGCCCGCGACCAGCGGTACTACCGTCCCAGGACAGCGGTACTACCGCTGGGCCACGCGGTACTACCGTGAGGAGCCGCGGTACTACCGCAGCAGCAGCAGTAGCTAGGGTAGACCTTAAGCACATGGGCTGAGGACGGTACTTCCGCAGACGCGGTACTATCGCTCCCCCTTGCGGTACTACCGCAAGGCAGGGAACCCCAAGCCTAGGAAGAGCGAGGATAACAGAACATCCGTGCCTACTTCCGCTGGAAAACGGACGTAGCAGAAATCCGACACAGTACTACCGCAGAGGGGCGGTACTACCGCCTGGCAGCTGAGCCAGACCGCGCACGGTACTACCGCGCAAGGGATGTTGTACTACCGTGGTAGCGCGGATGTAAAAAATTACATCCGCCCCTACTACCACGAGGGAGCGGTACTTGGCCTGGGGGTCACGACACTATGGCTCCAAAGGAGCGGTACTACCGTGGGCACCTGCGGTACTACCGCGCCACAGCACGGTACTACCGCTGGTGCCTACGGTACTACCGCTCACTAGGGAGCAGTACTACCGCAAGCCAACACAGTAGCCAGAACAAGGTGAAGAGATATAAACGGAGGATGCTCCAAGGTGTAGGGGAAAGGAGGGGACAAAGAAGAAACGTGTACGTGATGATTCCACCCAAACCTTTCCGACGCAGACCCCCTCTTAATAGTACGACTTTCCTACGACTCAAATCCACCAAAAAGAAACATAGAAAAACGCCGTCTTCAATAGTCTTTGAGGGACACCAAACCGTCTTGTGCCTAGCGAAGAAACGTCTGGGAAAGTCAAAACACACGATTAGTCCGCAAACGCATTGTCATCAATCACCAAAACACCTTAGGGATAAAGATGTCCTTACAATCTCTCCCTTTTTGGTGGATTGATGACAATACGAGATTTGCACAAGGGAAATAATATTAAGCAAACGCAAACCCCTTCTCTCTAGAATATAGACGGGCTCCCCCTAGATGTGTGCCAACTAGATGGGTGCTTTGGACTGCATGACACACATACTAGTATCAAAGCTCCCCCTATATTATAGAGACAAGGCATATCTTGCAATAGTAAGGCTAACACTAGACAAGATAGCACAAACATAAGTTCACTAAGATAGAATAGAGTGCATATGTCTTACACCATATGAAGGATAAGCCTCAAAGACACAAACCAAACAAAGGCAAACGAGGTCCAAACGACAAAGCAAACACACCGAACACGACACACGACTCGCAAACACGCAAATCCCTACACTCTCTCCCCCTTTGGCATCGAGACGCCAAAAAGGCAGAGAGGACAGCTACACACAAGGGGTGGCTCAGGCAGAGAAATCATCCCACTGCTCCTCGTGCTCCTCGTCAGACTCGGCGGCGGGGACGGTCTCCTCGATGTCCTCCTTAGAGCTAGTCCACTTGAAACCTTGCTTCGCCATCCATGCAGCCTCTGGCGTGATGGCATCCTCAGAACCGCCAGAGACATCCTCTCCAAAGAGCCTCATGACCTTCTTGTCGCGGCGGCGACTCTCCTTGGATGCCACATGAGTCCTGTACTGCCCCTTCGCCTGCATGCAGAAGAGAGTCTTCATCTTGTCCTTCAACTTCTTGGCCCACGACGGCTTAGAGGAAGGCGGGGAAGACCTAGCAGCACGGTCCTCAACAACATCCTCTGCACCAGCCTCCTCCTCACCAACAGCCCTCCTAGCAGCAGATGCCTCAGCATGAGTAGTAGTGTTGGCCCAGTTGGGCTTGACACGGAGACTGATGGACTCATGCCAAATCCAGTCTGGAGCAAGGAACTCATCACTAGGGTACATCTTATCCCAAGTCGTGGAGATCAACAGAAACAGGTACGGTCCATAGATAGGTACCTTGCGGGTGTACATCGCAAACCGAAGCTCACACCACATGATGTGTGAGACATCAAGTGGCTGAGTCTAAGACGAACGTGCTTCCGTGCACAGGAGCATCATGTCCACCAGATAGGAATGAACCTTGTCCTTGTCGCCAATGCGAGGGAACAGAGTGTTGCGGAAGATGCGATGCATGATATCCAGAAAAGAGTTCAGCACCCAAGTTGACTTGCCACTGGGAAGCACCTTCTCAACATAGTACGGCTGAAGCAAGTTCTTGTTAGCAGACTCAGAGTTGGCGTGGGGGCGAACACCAACAGGTGTGTGAAGCCCGTCATCAGGAACGTGGAGCAGACCCATGAACTCCTTCCAGGTAGCAGACAACTGATGGCCATTGGTCATCCAGGTCATCCTCCGCTCATCCCCGGGGTGAAA